CAAGATGACAACAGTCCCTTTGTCTAAGTCCTGGTGTTGTGTGGATGAAAAATAGCAGTCAGTTATGATAACACATGATAACATCCAAAGTGTAGCCAAATGTGTTAACATTTTTACACATCTAAACCAGCCTTAAAGTAAATCACATATGGGGTTACACCATCCTCATGGTAGTCCAGGATAACAACCATGTCGTCTGGATTCATGGTTTTATCAATAAAGAACTGGTTGTTTTTGAAATTAGTGAAGATGTGCTTGATTTGTTCTGTAGCCCTGGTCATAAAAGGTTTCACTCTTTCTGGTCTTTGTTCTTTAAGTTTTCCTTTGATTGATTTCATATAATCTTTGATGTACTTCTTGTGGGTTTCTTTTGTGAATCTGGTTTCTTGCAAGTGATGGTTCATGACAATATCAACTCCAGTGATCACTGTGATTTGGGTACCTTTGCCCTTGGGGCTTTCAACGAAGACATTTTCACCAATGAGCGACTCAACAGTGTTAACTCTGTCTTACTGGCCATATTCCCCTCCACCCACAGGAACTACTCAGCTTATCACGGGACTGATGAGGTCCCAATAGATGATCATGACAATGGCTAGAGAGAGTCAATGGTAGTTCTAGCCTAGCAGGAGCCCAGAGCTGGAAGTAAATGGTATGCTGCCAGAAGGCATGCTGGGGGAGGGGTTAGTGGGTGGAAAAGCTATCTGTTCAGACTTTTTGCCTATTTTTTAATTGGAGTTTTTTGTTGAGTATTAAGTGTTTTTATTTTTGGATAACAGTCATTTACCAGCTATGTGTCTTAGACATATTTTTTTCCCAGTTTGTGGCTTGTCTTCTCAATTTCTTGACTGTATTTTTGCAGAGCAGAAGTATAATTTCGACTCACTAATTTAGTCAAGCTTATTGATTACGCATTGGGCTTTCAATATTGTATCTAAAAAAACGTTGCCATCCAAGGTCACTAGGCTTTCTCCTATGTTATCTTCTAGGAGTTTTATTGTTTTATGTTTTACACTTAGGTTGATGGTTAATTTTGTGTAGGGTGTAAAATTCCTTTTTTTTTTTTTTTTTTGCATGTGGATATGTTTTTCTAGCACAATTTGCTGGAAGACACTCTGCTCCATAGTATTACCTTTGCTTCTTTGTCAGAGATTAGTTTACTATATTTATGTGAATCTATTTCTGCACTCTTTATTCTGTCCCATTGATTTGTTTATTCTTTTGCCAATACCATACTGTCTTGATCACTGTAGCTCTATAGTAAATCTTGAAATCAGGTAGTGTAAGTTCTCTGACTTTGTTCTTTTTCAATATTGTGTTGGATATTCTGGGTCTTTTGATTTACCATATAAACTTTAGATTCACTTTGTCAATATCCACAAATTAAGATTTTGATTGATATTGCATTGTAGATCAAGTTGGGAAAAAGTGATATCTTAAAAATATTGAGTCTTCCTATCAATGAATATGGATTATCTCTCCATTTATTTCATTCCTTTATCTATGTGATTTATTTTATCAGAGTTTTATAGCTTTCCTCATATAGATCTTGTATATATTTTTTCAGGTTGGTACAAGTATTTTATTTTGGGGGTGCTGGTGTAAATGGTATTGTGTTTTTAATTTCAAATTCCACTTATTCACTGCTGGTATATAAAAAAGCAATTGACTTTTATATATTAACCTTGTATCCTGCAACCTTGCTAAAATTGCTTTTTAGTTGCAGGAGTTTTTTTGTTGAATTTTTTGGGTTGTCTACATAATCATGCCATTTTTGAACAATGACAGTTTTATTTCCTCCTTCCTAATCAGTATAACTTTCATTTCCTTTTCTTGTCCTATTGCATTGCTAAGACTTCCAGTACAATGTGGAATAAAAGTGGTGAAAGAGATCATCCTTTCTTTGTTCCCAATCTTAGTGGGAAAGCCTCCAGTTTTTCTTCTTGGTAGAATTTTCTTCATGTTTCTTCTGCCTGGGATTTGCTTTTATCAAATTTGAAAAAACACTGGGTCACTATTTTGATTTTTTCTTTCTCTCCTGTCCTTCAGGGACCTAATTACAGAAAGATTAGGTCACTGAATGCTTCCCACAGTGCACTAATACACTGTTTTTTTTTTTTTCAAGTTTTTTTCTCTCAGTATTTTAATTTGGATAATTTCTATTACTATATTTCAAATTCACTGATCTCTTCTGCAGTGTTTGATATGCTCTTAATCCTATAAAATTTATTTCCCATCACATTGTTTTTTCCTCTGTAGAAATTGAATATGTCTTTTTATATTCACCATTTCTCTATGTTAATGCTAATGTTTTCTTCTTCCTTCTCAAACACATGTATAAGGTTTAGTTACATTTTTAATATCTTTATCTATTTATTGTGTCATGTGTATAATTATTGGTTTAGTTTCCATTGACTGATTTTTTTTTCTTTTTTTCTTTTTTTTTTTTTTGGTTGTGATTTCCAGCTTATTTCATGAATTTTAAACAACAAAGAATGTTTATATATACTTCTGAATAGATTTTGTTCAGTTTAGGGCAATGAAATGTATAATATATATTTTATAAACATTGAATACTTCAGTATTAAAATGTGTCCTTCAATTATATAGAAATCACATTTTTTCATGCAATTTTATTCTCTTGGAACAATGAGATACAGTGGACTTTGAAGTCAAATATAATAAACTTCAAAATACAGTTTTACTAAAGTCTTTAGGAAATTAAGGAAGTTACCTTACCTCTATGAGTTTTGATCATCTCATATGCAAAATTAAGACTCAAATATGTATCTCATAGAAGATGTACAAACATTAAATTAGATATGACTCTAAGGAACTTAATGTGATGTATAGAACATAGACTATAATAAAAAAAATTGCCCATTTGGTAGATGTTTATTCTGATGTATACTGATTCTATACAAATGAGACAATACCCATGCACCTATATGTAATATGATGATATGTCTAAATGGTACATACATAATTATAATAATTTTATAATATTTTAATAAAATATCAGTAAGGTTATTATTATTAAAGCATTCATTACACTCTCCAATCTCATGAACCTAAGACTTCAAGTAAATACATATGGATTCACTTAAAATGCAAAAATTCAATAATCTAGATGCTTCATTTCTACAATGCCAACAATTGCATATTTATTAATCCAGTTTTTAGACTAAACATTTTTCTCATCTAAATGCTTAGCATCATCAGACATCGTCACAGGAGAATACAGATATTTGTACAGCAATCTAGACTACAATATGTTTTCACATAAAAAAGGTTAGAATGGGATAGTTGCAGTTTGAAAGTGAGAGATTTCATAATATAGGAGATTGCTTTGGTAGTTAATTTATTTTGCATAATAAGATTGGATGTTAAAAGATAAAATGTAAATAATAACTTTGAAGATAAAATTCCTAGAGACATTCTCAACTTATATGTAATATTAATTGCCTTGATATATATGATATATAAAAGTGATTTATATACGTATATTCAAACTTATTTTATTTAGCCAACCTTAACCTAATAACAAATTAAGTAATGAGATCCAAGAAGAATATGATAAGGATTTGTAATCAAGTTAGAAAACATAAAATTGACTACAGTGCAAATGTTTATCTTGTCTAATGAAACTGTGATGTTTAAATGCTGTTATTGGCCAGAAATATTTAAAAATTGCTTACATTTTAGAAATGGGTTGGCACATTTCATCAGCTTATGTCTAGATCATTGTAAGTAGTTCTTGACTAATTTTCTTTTTATCACACAATTTTATTCTTTAGTAAACAAGAACCATCCTAATGTCATTTCTAATGAAGAGTGTTATTTGGCTAACTTCAGAACTGTGCCACTTCTGAGAAGTTTACATTAAAATCAGATGGTGTTAATTTGGAAAGTTGTTTTGGTTTGGGGAACATCCTATTTAAAATAGTGTTATCAGGTGATGGGGATTAAAGAGTACACTTATGATGAGCATTGAGTTATGTATGGAATTGCTGAATCACTCTCTTGTACAGCTGAAACTAAAAAAATCGTGCATTCTATATGTATTGAGTGTATATTTAGGGGTAGCATTGCTCAGTCATAGGCAATCATATGTTCAGCCTTAGTAGATATTGTCCAGCAAGTTTCCAAAAGAAAAAAAGTTGGAATTCACTTTGGAAAATTCCCCATTTCTACTAAAGTTGAACATATTCAATCATTGTGATCTAAAAAATCTACACCTGGGATTCAAATGTGCATCAGAAGACAGGCAAAGAATATTTATGGAAGCATTGTCCAAATTAGCTAAAACTATAAAGAATCCAAACGTCAACATTAGAACTGATAAATACAGTGGTATGTTTATACTAGAATACTCTGTGGCAATGAAAAATGGTACACACAAAATCACAAGTGGGTTTCACAGACATAATGTTGAGTGAAAGAAACTGGACACAAGATTAAATACTTTATGGTTCCAATTATAAGACGCTCAAAAGCAGCAAACTAATCTCAGATGATAAAAGGCAGAATAGGGGCGCCTGGGTGGCTCAGTTGGTTAAGTGACTGCCTTTGGCTCAGGTCATGATCCTGGAGTCCCTGGATCGAGTCCTGCATTGGGCTCCCTGCTCAGTGAGGAGCCTGCTTCTCCCTCTAACCCTCCCCCCTCTCATGTACTCTCTCTCTCTCTCTCTCATTCTCGCTCTCTCAAATAAATAAATAAATCTTTAAAAAAAAAAGGCAGAATAAATAGTGGTCACTTCAAGGGATAGTGGGTAGATTGTAGGCTCTGAATGGTGGTTAGATTAAGCTGTACATTTAAGAATTGTGTACGGTGTGCATACTCTAGTTCAATAAAATATGTTTAAAGCTCATACGCCAGCTTTTGGAAAGAGTTTCCCTATTTGGGGTGAAAAAAATTGGGTCAAGGAAGAAGAATGGGGAGGGAATTCCATTCATTTGCTCCATCCTTGTCACTTTCTCTTTCCTAAATTGTTTTCCAGTGTCAGGGCCTTGCCAGCCCAGCCCCTGAATTCGGAGGTTCCAAAACTGTCTGGAGCTCCTCCCGCTCGGAGGCGGGTGAGGATGGAACTGTGTAGGGGCGCAGAGTGAGAGAGAGGACTCAGATCCCCCCCAATTCCGCACATGCCAGCAGGAACTGCAGAAACAAGAGCAAAGCTGTGGAAAGAGCAAAGTGCCCGCCCAAGGTTTCAGCTGCGGTTCGCTGGTCAGCGGCAGGATGACCTCCTCCCCTCCCCGCGAACTGTGGGGCAGGTACTTTTATTAATTCCGGAGGGATAAATCTTTGTTCACAAAAGGACTGTTCTCCGCTAGCTACAAGGGAAAACAAACCACTGAGGATTAGAACAAAGACGCAACTGCTTTGCCTTTTTTTTTTTTTAAATTTGGAGGCAGCGGGCGCCAATGTGCCCCTTCCAGAAGTGAAGCATAGGAGGAGCGTGGACAGACTCCCTCTTTGGGACGCGGCGGTGTGACTAGCTCGCCCCAGGCAGTGCACTTGTGCCTGGGACAGGGAAATGGATTGAGCCCCAGTGTGTGTTGCACTTTTCAGGGCACCCGGGCGCATGAAAACTCCAGTGGACTCTTTTGGGAAGGAGAACATGCCCCCCAAGTCTCTTTGCAACCTCTCCCAGACCGCGGACGAGAATCCAAGCGGCTTCGTTCCCGGGGTGTCGGAGAGGGACTTCCTGCCCGCCTCGGACGGGACCAGCGCCAAGTTCGCGATCCGCTGCGCGATCGCGTCCCTCTACCTGCTCATCATCACGGTGGGCTTGCTGGGCAACATCATGCTGGTGAAGATCTTCATCACCAACAGCGCCATGAGGAGCGTCCCCAACATCTTCATCTCTAACCTAGCCGCTGGGGACTTGCTCCTGCTGCTCACCTGCGTCCCGGTGGATGCCTTGCGCTACTTCTTTGACGAGTGGATGTTCGGGAAGGTGGGCTGCAAGCTGATCCCGGTCATCCAGCTCACCTCCGTGGGGGTTTCCGTGTTCACTCTCACAGCGCTCAGCGCCGACAGGTAGGGGCGCAGGAAGTGGAGGTGTGGTCTGGAAAAGAGGTGGAAAGGCGTAGGAGTGCGGGGGCGGGGGTGGTTTGGAAAGGCTGGGGATGGGCAAGGAGAGAGGGAGAGAGAATGTATCCGGGAATTAGAGTAAAAGGAGTTAAAACGACTGAGATGTGAAGCTTGAAAATATATATAAGAAAATTATTACTTCTAAAATAATTAACACTGCCTTAGTTTGAAAGCAGTTTTAAAATTGCATATCCCAGTCTTCCTCCTCCCCTGCACATTGGAAATCTTTATTAATATTTCATAGAAAAGTTATAGAAAAATTGGGCAGCGGTGCAACTATCATGTAGAAACTTTTCTCGTGTGCCCAAATTTTAGAAGTGCACTTTCCTTATTCAGTACTTTAGTAACCTGATAGGTAAGAAAGTCTGACTTAATATTAGGGAAATATTTGATTTTGAGGTTTTTTTCAAATATGGGGAAACATTGTTTACACTTATTAACTAAATTCTGTTATCTATTTGGAGTCAAACAACTACAATAGTAAATGCTCTTCAGACAGATGACTATACATTCTTGTTTTAATACCTCAAGTCAAGTGACGCCCCCAACAGGTAGGTACCCAATTTTAGTGTCTTAAAATGGTGCTGTAAAAATACATTTTTTGACATTTAAAATACATTTTATTTCGTAAATCAAGACAAATTCATATTGATTATATTTAGTTTTCTTTAAAACAGTATCTTTTTTTTTTTAGAGAAACATTTACTTATGCTTACCAGTTTATTATAAAGGATATTATAAAGGATACCGATGAACAGCCAGATGATGAATACATAGGGCAAGGTACATGGGAAGGGGCACAGTGCCTCCATGCACATGCTCTCTCTAGGTACACCACTCACCCAACACCTCCATGTGTTCACCAGCTTGGAAGCTCTCCAAACCCCATCCTTTTGGAGTTTTATGGAGGCTTCTTTTTTTTTTTTTATGTTATGTTAATCACCATACATTACATCATTAGTTGTTTTTTTATTATTATGTTATGTTAATCACCATAAATTACAAAATTAGTTTTTGATGTAGTGTTCCATGATTCATTGTTTGCATATAACACCCAGTGCTCCATTCAATACGTGCCCTCTTTAATACCCATCACCAGGCTAACCCATCCCCCCACCGCCCTCCCCTCTAGAACCCTCATTTTGTTTCTCAGAGTCCATAGTCTCTCATGGTTCATCTCCCCCTCCGATTTTTTTGATATCAAATCTGCTTTTCACATATTTTAAACACGGGGAAGTGTCCACTGTTCTACCTTGCAGATCAGCTAAGTTCAACTATGTCATTCTCCAGGTGAAGATACTGAGGCCCAGGGAATGTTAAGTTCCCTTGGCAGAGCAGAGAGAAGAATCCAGGCCTGCTGACTCCTGGTCCAGTGCCCCTACCTCAGTCTGTTTATGATCATGCTTTCAGGCCTTTAAGCAGGAGGGATGTCTGAATGGGGGTGGGGACAAAATGTCCAATTAGGCAACTGTGCATGGAACCCTGGTCTAATTCCCTTGGGGATGGGGTATGGACGTAAGCTATTTAGACAAACAATTGGACTTGGATGATTAAGGTGGTGGTCACTCTCTTCTTCAATTTACATGTTGTTATTAATGGAAAATGAGTCCATCTAAATTTCCTGGTATTTGCAATAATACCCTTCCCTTACTCTGGCATTGAAGAGCTGTTCTTCGTTGAAGGAAAGACAGTAATCACTGGGGAGTTGAGAGCTTCTGTCCTTTTAAACCAAATATTATTGACATTTTGGTTTGTGTCATATTCTTTCTAAAACCACGTTCCTATAAAAATAGGTGACTTCGGGTAAATTATGTACCTTATCTTGCTAATATGACACCATTTCTATTACCTTTTATGAAGTTTTCTTTGACTCCTATAATTAAAATGTGACTTTTTAGTTTAGCTCCCCTTCCTTATAGGACCTATTTTAATTAGAAAGTTAAAAGAATTCTACTTAATGATTAGAATAAAACTTAATGAATAGCTATCACTACACTAGTTAAAATTACTATTGTTGTGCTTTAATTCCATGAGTAGCAAGATCCAAGGCTTGAGTTTATTTCATGCCATTTTTCTCAGCCTATTATCATGGAGACCCACAGATAAATTGGCTCTGACCAAGCTGCGAGAACATGCTATTCCTCATGTACTTACTGACTTTTTGGTTTGTTATGTGTGTCAAGTACTCTGTAAATGCAGCACAGATAACTTACTAAGGATAAAAAAAGCTGGGTTGCCTCTTCTACTTGGTCCAGATTTGCTTATTAGTGCATGTTTTGGAAACATAAATTAGGGAACTGGAATCCCTGGTGATGAAATGACCCAACATATCCCAATATTCAATTAAAATGCTTTGGAAATGTTTTGCTCTATATTGTCTACACGTCTACTTTTCTTCCAGAACATAGTAATCAACTGTTGATAAGTACTTGATCTCCTCACATTTTATTTAAGCAAATATTTTGATTTCCTGTCAATTTGATAACAAGTAGAAGACTAATCTCCCTTAGCACTGTGCTTATTTGTGTGTGAGTTTATTACCCTCACAACTCTATGAAGTAGGTATTAATATTATTACCATTTTGAAGTGAAGAAAACTAACTCTTGAAATTAAACAGCATGGTCTGAGATGGTGGGAATGGTGACCTCAGTTTGTTTTCTACTTTTATCTTGATGAATTTTTTTGTATTTTGAAAATGTACTTGTTTGCTTGCTCACATTAAATAGCGAATTATAGGCACTTGCATATTCTCTGTGGTTAAAACACATAACAGTTCTACACACACTCACACACACTCACACACTCACACACTCACCTATATGCTGATACTGAGTAGGTGGGGTCCCATAAACATACTTTGTTTATGGCTGGCATTATAGATCTCTCCTTCACTATCTATTACAGTAGCTTCATTTCCAAGTTTAGAATACAATTTCTTTGATTCTTGAAGACATTTTGGCCTCTAAAGGCCTCTAATTAGAATGCAACTAACTTTTAAGAATGAGTTCTTTTTCTTTTATAGGAAAAATTTCTCAGATTCCTAGTGCTGATCTGTAAACTTTATAATTTTGTATATTTACAAATGTAAAACTAGATATCTTATTCTTTTTTATGTGTTAACTAAAATGCATTTATAAATTAAATATTAAAAATCCATAAAAATAAAAGTGAAATTAATATTAATTTAATGTATCAGACCAAGTTGTTTTTCTGATATTAAATAGCCAATGTTGGATTGAATGTAAAAATAATTTTGCACCAAATCTGACTGAAGTGCTAAAATATGAATGGTTTCAAGCCTTTGTTTGCTAGTTAAGATAACCAGATTTAATTCCATAACTGAGTTAGTTCTATTAGGTATGAACCTTGAATCATTAACATTATTTGGATATTATACCAATGCAAACAGATACTCTCTTCAGTGTAGTTATTTGTTAAAATAGTGAAATAGATCAAATGTAGGCCCTGGATCTATATTTCCTAGGCTGTCAGAAGCGTTTTTATCAGTCTCAGTCCAGTAATGGGGCGGGGGGGGGGGGGGGGAGGGCATGCCATAATCTGTTTGCTGGGTTTTCACCAAAACTCCTGACTGAAGCTCAGATACTGATTAACCAGCTGGCCCGGACTGCAGATGATTTCTTCTTTGGTCTGGAGCCCTGGGTAGTAGGTGAGAAGCCCTTGCTTCTCTGTGCTGACATTAGCACTTTGAGTGTATTTCTCAACTCTTCTGGAGAGTACAGACTGGCAGTACCTCCTAAGAGAATACTCCCCACTTGCCCTTTTACCAGAGTGAGGACTTTTTTATTGTCAACTTGTTCCAAAAGAATTTAAGGGAGCTTAAAAATAAAGATACAAACAACATACAATGAAATAAAAAAGGGAGGAAACCCAGGTAGAGGAAAAATAAAAGTTGAAGATTATAAGTTGACTTATACTATCACAAAATGTGAGTCACATGTTTGTCTGCAAGCATTCTATCTGCCGATGCAAAAAGGGCATTTTTTTTTAAACAAAAGTTGCTATATTTAACTCCAATAAGTCAGATATCTTTTATTCATTGCTTCTAGCTTTTGAGAAAACTTTATAGTTTTTGAGGATTATTCACTCACCTTGATCTGAAACTTTTGGGACACACTATAAATAAGAAGGAATGCACCAGGAATGTGGGTGCTAGTCCTGCCTTTGTTAGGGTCAGATGTTCTAGTTGGAGAAGATGATAAAATAATGCAAAACACATGCTCTTAAGGTGGTTATTTTCTTCATTTGCAAATTAAGAATGATGTCTTCAACTGTAGAGCTGAGGGACTATAGCCAGGATCCTATTATTTCCCTACCTGGGTATTGAATGGAGAAAGACCAAAAGAGGAGAAGGGACATTAGTATTGGTAAGGCAGCTGGATGGTGAGTTCTGTCTCTGGGGCTCTACCTATCACTCTACTCCATGTTGCAACATCTCAGACAAGTCTTTCAGTTAATAATTTATGCTGATCTATTTGGCCCACTTCTTAGTGGAAACAAAGACACTCTAAGATGTATCTGTCAGTCTTCTGCCTGTGGTGCTACATTTAAATAGGGTCCATCTGCTCTGGTTGAGCCAGGAGGTGAGACAGTGAAGTTCAACAACACCTTCCTTATTGTTAGTTGTCCCAGCAGTACAGTTCTGTGTGTGTTTCAGGAATGAAAATAACAATTTACTTTTGTTCTGCCAGTTGCTGATTCCTCAGGAGGGTTGACCAGTCTCCAAGGTCTTTTAAAATTTTTAATTGCATTTTTATTTTCTCATTCTCAACAAGTTCTTTTTTAAAAAAAAATTAAAACTTGAGTATAGTTGATATACAATGTTATATTAGTTTCAGGTGTGTAATGTAGTGAGTCAACTTCTCTATATATTATTCTATTGCTCACCACAAGTGTAGCTACCATCTGTCACAATGCAACGTTATTA